CGCCCCCCCCCCCCCCCATTCTGTCTCTTTTCTCTCTCAAAAGTAAATAAATATTAAAAAAAAAAAAAAAAGAAATCCCACATATACAAATACACCAGAACAAAACAAATAAAAATAACTGAAAGAAAATAGTATGTTTATATCAATTTGAATAACCTTTTAACTATTGAAGGAAAAAGGAAGTAAGCTATTGTCTATTAAAATAAGTTGATACTTTGAGGTGAAAAGGATTTGTTTCCATATATGCAAAGAAAAACTTCTTAATTAGATAATGCAAGGAACTGACTTAAATTTGTAAAGTCTATACAAGGTTTCAAAGGTTTTATTAGCAATTTATACAAGAGAAATATTCTACTTCATATGAGAAATATACATGTTTGTTGAATGAATGAAAAAAGTTAACCTTGAGATACATACCTGAATATATACTAAACAAGTACAAATAAATGAAATTGATAAAACTATTGGTTGAACTTTGGGGGAAATTAGTATATACATTTTTTATGTAAATTCACCATTTTCAGGGGAGAGTGAAAAAGTGTAAAAAGAACCTTAAAACTCATAGTCTTTTTAGAAGACAGTAAGTGAGGGGTGCCTGGGTGGCTCAGTTGGTTGGGTGTCCGACTTCAGGTCAGGTTATGATCTTTCCGTCTATGAGTTCGAGCCCTGCATCAGGTTCTGTGCTGACAGCTCAGAACCTGAAGTCCCCTTTCTCTCTGCCTCTCCCCCACTCACGCTCTGTGTCTCTCATAAATAAATTAACAAACATTAAAAAAAAAATAAGTGATCAAACTATTTGACAGAAGAATTTGTAGTTATTTTTAGGTTAATCTTTAATGTAAAATATGCATAACATGAAATTTACCATTTCAGCCATTTTTTAAAATTGAAGTATAATTGACATGTAACATTATTAGTTTCATGCATACAATGTAATGACTTGATAACATTTTAGCTATTTTTAATTGTGCATTCATTCTCATTGTTTATTCACATAGTTGTATAACCATCACCATTATCTATTTCTGTAATTTTTTTATTATCCCAGACTAAAACTCTGTATATAGCTAACTTTTTCATGATAATAAATTATGGTAACAAATTACTGTAAAATACCTACCAGGGAAAGCAGTCTATTCTTGAGGACTTGGATCTGTGTCCTGACTCTCCCATTTACTTACATCTGTAATAGAAATACTCTGATATTTTAAGGCTTACAATAATAAGTTTGCAAGGACCTTACTAAAGAGTTGATTTTGTAACTGATAATACTTCAAAGGGGCTATAGGTTTTCTGAATAGTTGATTGGTGTTATTAAAAATAATTTAATTTGAAGTTAAATATATAATAAAGTTTGCATTGGAAATTAACCATTAATTAATTATTTGAAGTACTTTTAGGAGTTTGAAGTGATGCCCATGTGGCATAAATTGTTTGGAAAGAGCTTTATTCAGTGTTACTTCAATATACTTAATTATTTTTTCAGGTCTCTACAGCAGAACAGTGTCGTTCTTCCCCCAAAAGTATGATTTCTTGCAATAAGAAATCCCTGTATCTTCCACAAGAAATGTCAGCTGTTTATATAGAATTCACAGAATATTACTATCCAGACGGAAAGGATTTTCCAAGTAAGAGAGTTTCCTGTTTAATTATTATTTGTCCATTACTTGGGAAGTTGTTTTTTGTTTTTTGTTTTTTTTTTTTTTGCTAAGTTTTCAACTTTTATAAATGTGAAAAAAAGAAACAAAAGCCCATTGTTCTTTACACTTGTTCTCATTGTTTTTAGTATATAACTCTATATAGCATTTCTTACATGTTCTTACTGTTTGTTCATATTTTTTTTTCTCTCACTAGCTTGTAGCATCCTTAATGTTGGGAATCATGTAGTAGTCATGCTTCATTTTATCCCTGAGGCTTGACTCATTTCTTTACTAGTAGCTGTTTGTTAAATGAAAGAATTTATGAAAGTTAGTTTATTTGTAGAATAAGGTCATTTTTTTTCCATTAGTCAAAACCTATTTATATTTCAGCTATATAAAACTCTATATTTCTTTGAAAAATTAATAATGCATTTATTCTTTTAGCTATAGAGAATTTTTTGGCTGTTTTATGCACAAATGTATATTTTGGACAACTTTTGGCACTTGTCTTTACTTTGAGCATTGAATTACATGAATTTTGATTTGTAAGCTATTTTGGGGTCCTAAAGTGAAAATGATTATGCATTTGTGTTCTTTGAATGCTAAATTTCTATGTGATTATCTGAGTTCATCTCATAGTTTTTCAAAATAAAATTGGCCATTGTTTATATAGTATCTTTTCTTCAACTGTTTAATTATTTAATCCTTGTTTGTGCCAAAGTTTTGGGATCTAATTCTCACCATCTTGATGCTTTTCAGCAGTCTTTTGTGTATTTCTTGTTTATCCTTTCTACCTTCCTGACCAAAACAGTGAGAAAATTAAAAAAGGTTAAGACATTTGCTTAGCACCTTAGTAAAATGGCACAGCTGAGATGTGGGTCTTCTAAATCAGAATTCATGTGTCTTCCCCCCAGGCTGCAGCTATATTACACTGCCTTCCCATAATATTCACAACCATTTGTCTGTAACTGGAGAATCCCATTGTTTCCAGTCCTCCTTGGTCCTTACAAACAAGTGTTTTCCTTAAGTAATGCATCACTGAGTTAGTAATTCTTCAGAGTGAAGACTAGTTTCCAAGATTTCTGATTTCTAAGCTAGGTTTATTTATTTCTATCATTTTTATTAACACGTGCCATAGGAATTGTAATCTTATTCTATAATATATATTTTTTCTGATAAAAACATTAAATTCCTTACAGCAATTTAAAGTCTAGCCCCCTAGATACTTAGGAATGGAATTGCTAGGTTATGTTTAACTGTTTAATTTAACTTTTCACTATGAAAATTTTCAAACATATACAAAGGTACAGGGATCCATTTTCAGTCCTTATATTTCATCTCTTTGTTAAGCAACCCAACTTTATAAAAATATAACTGTTAAAATAATTGTAAATGTAATATATGTTATGTTATTTAAAAAAAGAATATACCAAAAATAAAAAACTGGCCACGAGTCTACAGTTTAGAGACAACTTCTGCTAAAACATAAATGTATGAATTTGTTAGGGCTGCCATAACAAAGCACCACTGACTGGGTGATTTAAACAAAAGACATTCATTTCTTCATAATTTTGGAGGTTGGAAGTTCTAGATCAAGTGTCAGCAGGGTTGTTTCTTCAGATAATTCTTTTTTTTGTTTCTACTTATTTTTGAGACAGAGTGAGACAGAGCATGAGCAGGGGAGGGGCAGAGAGAGGGGGAAACACAGAATCTGAAGCGGACTCCAGGCTCTGAGCCGTCAGCACAGAGCCCGACGTGGGGCTCGAACTCACGGAGCGTGAGATCATGACCTGAGCTGAAGTCGGACGCTCAACTGACTGAACCACCCAGGCGCCCCTCTTCAGAGAATTCTTATTGGCTTGTGGATGGCTGTCTGTTCACATGGTCTTTGCTCTGTGTGTGTTTCCTAATGATGCTGATTGTACTATATATACTAGAGCCCATCCATATGAACTCATTTTTACTATAATTGCCTCTTTAAAAGCTCTGTCTTCAAATACAGTCATATTCTGAGGTACCCTGGGTTAGCATACCAGTTTTGAGGGGACAGTTGAGACCATACAGTAAGTATAGTATTGCTCGTCCTGTTTTTAATGTATGTATTTCTTTTGCATATTTGCTTTACATCCTGTACCCTTCTTTTTTTTTTTTTTAATTTTTTTTTCAACGTTTTTTATTCATTTTTGGGACAGAGAGAGACAGAGCATGAACGGGGGAGGGGCAGAGAGAGAGGGAGACACAGGATCGGAAACAGGCTCCAGGCTCTGAGCCATCAGCCCAGAGCCCGACGCGGGGCTCGAACTCACGGACCGCGAGATTGTGACCTGGCTGAAGTCGGATGCTCAACCGACTGCGCCACCCAGGCGCCCCCCTGTACCCTTCTTTTAAGTTCTTTTTTTTTTTTTTTTTTTTTAAAGTTTGAGAGAGAGCAAGTGTGAGTGAGAGAGAGTAAGTGGGGGAGGGGCAGAGAGAGAGACAGAGAATCTAAAGCAGCCTCTGTGCGGTCAGTGGGAGCTGACACAGAGCTCTATCCCATAAATCAGTAGATCATGACCTGAGCCAAGATCAAGAGTTTGGACACTTAACCAACTGAGCCACCTATACGCCCCTACATCCTTTCCCTTTGATGATATGAGCATATTCCAGGTTTCTACAGGTTTATTTAAGTATCTTTAATAACCATATAATAATCTATTTCATAAGTAGACCCCTGTTGGAAACTACTTGTAGTACTTGTACTACTATGTGTAGATTTTTCTCGCGCTTAGTGTACCAGTTTCTTCCTCTGTCCCAGATCTCCACAGCCCGGATTCTTCTTTCCTTCTGTGTTATAGCTTTGGGGACTACATGTGCTCTCTAGTCCTCTCTGTAGCTGTCATCATTACTCATTTTATACTTGAAAGGCCTTCTTTTTCCTTCCTTCCAGAGTATGATGTGATCTCTTCAACACCCCACTTCCTTTCAATTTCCAAATATAAGCACTGCCACATCCCAATTGGATGTCTCTGTTAGACTTGAATTACATTTTTCTACCTTTGTGTCTGTGTTGAGTAAAAATCTACAGACATTTTATTATTTTCGTGCTTAACACCATACACAAAATATTGTTGGCATTCAGTGAATCTTTCCTGGAAGAAAATGAATGAATGAGTGCAAAAAAACATCCTATTTAGGACATAGTTATTATGCTGTCTTTTTAATTATATCCTATACCTTGGATTTATTTTCCTTAAATTATTGTTGTCTAAAAAATCTAGATATACATGTTATTTGCTTTACTAGAAGTGAGTAGGTTTGAATGTTTGGGATAGAAGATTTTTTATCAAGATGCTCTGAAAACAATAATGGCTTTTATAGTATAAACAAAAGGATTTAAGAAAGAGGTGTATACTCTAATTGTGAATATTAGTTTAATATAAATTAGCACTAAAACACTTATCCAACCCCCAGGCATTCTAATATTTGAGGAGAGCTATGAAAAAGGAGTATATTCCTTTTATTATCTAGTAGATACTTGAATTTTTACTTTGCACCAAGCGCTATTCTAGGCTTAGGATTAAGTGGAGAATAAAACTGCATGGCCCCTCCTCCCAAAGGAGACCTGCCTGTTCACCACTTTCGTAAGAAATTAGTCATTAGACTCGGTTCTCTTATTTTAGAGGATTCAGATTATCATTCAGGTAGGAAAAGTCCTTACAGATACTAGGAAGAGAGATCTAAACGTTGTTTCCTATTTATAGATAGTTTTAGAATAAACAATATATTTTTCAGTTAGTGAAGCATAGAAAAATGTTTTTTGTCTGTCTAAATGTATTCATTATCATCCACATGTGTCACTTTAATTTTGTAAATAAAATTTCAAAACTTATTATCTTAATTTAAAAAGAATAAAAGTTAAAAATGTTTTTTCTCAGGGAAGATTTAGACTATCTGTTCATTAAAAATCTTTAAAATTTTTTTTCTCCACAGTTCCATCTCCCAACCTTTATAGCCAACTGAATGCACTACAGTTTACCGTGGATGAAAGAAGTATTCTATGGTTAAATCAATTTCTCTTGGATTTAAAACAGAGTCTTAATCAATTTATGGCTGTATACAAGTTGAATGACAATTCAAAATCTGATGAGCATGTTGATATTCGAATTGATGGCTTAATGCTAAAGGTACCATATACACAAGTGACTGTGATAACAAAACCATTTTTAGAGAAGAAAAGTTAACATCGTAATTTCCAGGATTTAAGATGGGTGTTCAAATATAAATCAACTTTATTGTAATCTTAATTTTGATTTTGAAATTTTAATTTTAATTTTGATTTTCAGTTTAAAAAGCCTTAAGAGACTATTTTTCCCCCTTCTTTCTCTATCTTCCATTTAACCTGTTTCATTTTGTCACTGCTCATCCATTTGGAGGTAAGCAGAAATAACATTTAAATCTCAGTATTTTTTCCCCTACTTCCTACCGGAGCTATAAAATTTTTCTTTTAAAGTGGAAATTAATACAGTGAAACTTATAAATTAGATCTGGGTTTTATTTGTTCACAGTTATTCTGTTATTGATATCCAAAGATAATAGAAATTTGCTTTGTATTACAACCAAGTAGTTGATAATCTGAATCCCAGGGATATTTAAACTTTAAAGGAGCAAGGTTTTTTGTTTTGTTTTTTATGCACACTTTATTTATTTATTCATTTTTATGAAATTTATTGTCAAATTGGTTTCCATACAACACCCAGTGCTCATCCCAAAAGGTGCCCTCCTCAATACCCATCACCCACCCTCTCCTCCCTCCCACCCCCCATCAACCCTCAGTTTGTTCTCAGTTTTTAAGAGTCTCTTATGCTTTGGCTCTCTCCCACTCTAACCTCTCGTTTTGTTTTTTAAAAAAACAACAGCTACTATAGTGTAGTAAATAGAGTAAGACTTGGATGAAAAATTTCAGTTTCTGGATCTGTTGGTGATACTCTAAATTTCTATACCTTTAATTTCTTCTCTGTAAAATGGGGTTATTCATAAATGTTAAAATTTCATTGCAGAAATGTTTTAAAGATTTTCTTAAAAATCTTACTATGTTCAATTATAAAAAGATGAATTTTATAAAATCACAATTATACTTTAAGACAGTTGTGTAATCTCTATATTTTCTCAATATGCACAGTTTTAAAACCAGTATTTTAAGGACAAAAAAAAAATATTTTAAGGACTGAGAGTAACTATTTCTGAAAAATTAGTAAATAGTTTGACCTATATGCTTAAGTTTATTTTCTTAATAGTTTTATCTGAGAAAAGTGATTCTAATGGCATCTATCCAGTCATTCCATCCAGTTATCCCCCACATCTCTTGGATTTAAAATATCTTTGTTTCAGATTCTATGTCTCCCTCTCTCTGACCCTCCCCCATTCATGCTCTGTCTCTCTCTGTCTCAAAAATAAATAAACGTTAAAAAAAAAATTTAAAATATCTTAACAAAAAGTTCTTTTTTCCAAACTTAACACTTAATTCTCAAGGCATAGTAAGCTTTTAGTAATATTGATTTAGTTTTAATTTTGTTTAAAGTTGTTCTTTTCTTAGTGGTTAGTTACGTCCTTTTTACTTGGTTTAATAAAAAGATTTGTGGGGAGAGAGTTCATATATTATGTTTGGATAAGAAAGTAGTGTTTTGGTGGGATGTACCAAAAAGAATTCCTGAGCTAAGTTATGTTCTTGATTATTTTATCTTCAAGATGTATGGAATTGTAAGTTAGACTAGATTAATGTTTTTTCTCTTATAGTTTGTCATTCCTTCTGAAATGAAATCTGAATGTCATCAAGATCAACCACGTGCAGTTTCTATTCAGAGTTCTGAAATGATTGCCACAAATACAAGGCACTGTCCAAACTGTCGACATTCTGATCTAGAAGCTTTGTTTCAAGACTTTAAAGATTGTGATTTTTTCAGTAAAGCATATACCAGCTTTCCCAAATCTGGTGACAATTTTAATCTGTTGCATCCAATCTTCCAGAGACATGCTCATGAACAAGATACTAAAATGCATGAAGTTTATAAAGGAAATATTATTCCCAAGTTGAATAAACACACTCTCAAAACTTCTGCTGCCACAGATGTTTGGGCTGTGTACTTTTCTCAATTTTGGATAGATTATGAAGGGATGAAAAGTGGAAAAGGGCGGCCAATAAATTTTATAGACTCTTTCCCTCTTTCCATCTGGATTTGCCAACCAACAAGGTATGCCCTGTCACAAAAAGAGCTGCAGACTTGTAATCAGGTATCTCTCAATACATCACAAAGTGAATCTAGTGATCTGACTGGACGATTGAAGCGGAAGAAGCTCTTGAAAGAGTATTATAGTACAGAATCTGAGCCCTTGACAAATGGTAGTCCAAAATCTTCAGATACATTTTTAAGATTTTCCTCTTCATCATCAGATGCAGATGTTCATGTCCTGGTTCACATTCATAAACATGTCAGTATGCAGATCAATCACTACCAGTATCTGCTCTTGCTTTTCCTCCACGAGTCACTCATTTTGCTTTTGGAGAACTTAAGAAAAGATGTAGAAGCTGTGACTGGCGCTCCTCCTAGTCAGACATCCATTTGCATTGGAATTTTACTTAAAAGTGCAGAAGTGGCTCTTTTGCTACATCCAGTGGATCAAGGAAATACTCTTAAGTCTCCTGTCACTGAAAGTGTGAGCCCAATGGTTCCTGATTATTTGCCTACAGAAAATGGAGAATGTTTGTCTTCAAAAAGGAGGCAAGTTAGTAGTGGTATAAATCAAATCAGAAGTGTAACTGTTAATCACATGTCAGACAACAGATCTATGAGTGTTGACCTTAGCCATGTCCCTTCAAAGGATCCTTTGCTTTTTAAATCAGCTAGTGATACAAATCTGCAAAAAGGTATTTCTTTTCTTGATTATTTATCAGATAAAAATTTAGGGAAAATAAGTGAAGATGAAAGTAGTGGAATTGTGTGCAAAAGTGGATCAGGAGAAATTGGATCAGAAACAAGTGACAAAAAGGATTCTTTGTATACAGATTCAAATAGTGTCTTAAACTACAGAGAAGATTCAAGTTTGCTGTCCTTTGATAATGATGGTAATCAAAACATACTTTCAAATAATTTAACTACTAGAGGACATGAAACCATAGAGTCAGTCTTTAAAGCTGAAGATTTGCTTCCAGAAACAGTTTCACTCTCTGAGAACCTAGAAATCAATCAAGAAGAAGCACCCATGGTTAGAACACTTAAATCACAGTCATCTTTCAGGTAACAACATACTATTGGAATTTGGGGGTTTTTGATTTTCTGGGCATATGTATGTATGTGGTGGGGGGCATATTTTGTTTTTGGACAGAAAACCTCCTGACAAAATATGACATTAGAGTTAACACATAGAAGAATGGGTTTTATGTGATGTTTTTCTAATAATTTTGTCAACAGTGGAAAGCCTAGGGAACGGATTCCACCCAACCTGGCTCCACTCTGTGTTTCTTATAAGAACATGAAAAGAAGCCCCTCACAGACCTCATTGGACACCATTTCACTTGACAGTATGATATTGGAAGAACAGTTGTTAGAAAGTGATGGAAGTGATACTCATATATTTTTGGAAAAAGGTAAAGCAATACAAGTTTAATAATTCATATTAAATAATCAAATCTTAGAAGCGTTCAAGGGTTAACTGTATAATAACTTAAAACAAACTGTGTTTTGTATGACTTGGGCTTTTCTAATCCACTGTTTCTAATAATTCACTTTTATGGTATTTTTAAAAGATACTGATCTATGATGGGCACAAAATTTTTTTAAGATTGTCTTTTTCCACAGAGTTTGAGAAATAATGAAATACAGCACACTGAAAAATTAAGGCAGGTAGGTAAGAACAGAGGGTGATCACATTGATTGTAGTGACATTAACTTCAGGTAGGAGATAATTAGAAGTGGTACTGAAAGGGGAAATGAAGTGGTTGGACTGGGGTTATTCAAAGTAGGACGGCAGAGAGGGAGGCATAGCTGGCTGACCAGGAACCCGCTATGCCAGCACCACACCAGCAATGTGAAGGCTGTGCTCAGTGTTTTTGAGTTCTTTTCATACTACATTTAGGGCTTTAGTATCTCTAACATTTTATTGTGGACGTTATTTCTTATTATTTGCTAAACTAACTACAATTTAATTTTTCTTTGCTTATTGTCTTTTAAACAAGCCTTTACTTAAGAAAGATTTGAAGGATAGCCCTTTTTGGTTAAATTTAACATTGTCGGATCGTTTGTATAAGACTGATTTTAATTTGTTAGTTAACTTTTTTATTATTTCAGGTATTAAAAAGAACTCAACTACGAATTACCAGAGCCTAACGGAGAGTGCAAATGCCAGTGCAAATCTACAGAATTTTGGTGAAACCTCTCCAGATGCCATCAGTACAAATTCAGAGGGTGCTCAAGAAAATCAAGACCTGGTAATCATTTCACAGAGATTCTATGAAGAGAAATGCCACCACTTTTATTTCAGATAAATATGTACAGATTTTATGACATAATTATGTAAAGTGAATTGCCATAGTAGTGAGTGACTCACTTTGCTCGTTCTACTCTTGACACTTCTCCCTTCCCTCTTACTGAATTGTTTTTCTCTGAATTTCATTCTTCTAAATCTGTTTTTTTTCGTACTGTGGAGGGGAGGTTTTTACCTTTTGACCTTTATGTAGTTGCATTTAAATACACTTTGAAAACAAGTTTGATGGTTGATGGTAGTCAGTCCTTCTGAGGAACTTTCTACAAAAGAAATATGTTACTGGTTTGTTATAAGTCCTTTCCACCCAGTGAAATATTCTTACAGATGACTTAGAAAATATGTTCAGCTTTCAATGAAAATAATTTCACACAGGAATGTTATCTGTGTGACCTAAAAAAATTCATCTCTTGACTGAATAGGAAGAAAGGAAGCTGAAGTTTGTCACTGTAATGTAATAACCAGGTTTTGTTGATAACAAGTATATTATTGGTTTTATTAGGTCACTATTGTATTTTTAGAGATTTTAGTAGTTTCCTGTGTCATTTCTTAAATTTTGTTTTGAATTACTTTGTATGCTAATATTATTTATGCAATCATTATTAGATGTCAGTTGTGGTGTTTAAAATTACTGGTGTTAATGGGGAAATTGACATCCGAGGGGAAGATATGGAAATCTGTCTTCAAGTGGACCAAGTGACACCAGATCAGTTAGGCAATATCAGTCTTCGACATTACCTCTGTAATCGTCCAATAGGTAAGACTTTAATATGATTTAAATTTGTTGTGTTTTTTACATATAACTCCTCAGCAGTTCTGTCTTTGGTATAAATGAATTCAAGGAAAATTACATTTATTTATAATAATGTGAGAGATTTGTTTTCTTAGCTTACCTTATTTTCATAAAGTATTTTGATTGTTATTAGAGATGTAATGTGTTGAGGATGTATTCTCTAATTTCTTTTTGTTTCTTTTGTTAAGTGCCATCGTTTTTAGTCTTCTCATTCTTTGAGATAATAGGTTTAAGAAAACAGGTCTTTTCTGTATGAAAAGAATAATAAAGTAATCCTAGAATGTCAAACTTAGCTCTATGCTAGAATAAATGTCAATTTTTACATTCCATTATCTTGCTTGTAAGCAAACATTTCCTGAGTCTGACATGATACGATTTGGCAAAATCGTATGTCATGTTCTTACGGTCCTTCATTCTAACATCAACACATTCATCTGAACGTAGGGGGATAGGAACAACAAAACATGCAGTGTATAAAGAGGAAACCACATAAAACTATCCCTTTTTCAAAGTTTATATGGAGTTACCACTCATGGTTTTCAGTCATTTGAAGAAATTAACTTATTAGAATAGTTCTATTAAGCATTTAAAATGACATTGTTCAGGGGCGCCTGGGTGGCTCAGTCTGTTGAGCGTCCGACTTCGGCTCAGGTCATGATCTCACGGTCTGTGAGTTCAAGCCCCGCGTCGGGCTCTGTGCTGACAGCTCAGAGCCTGGAGCCTGTTTCAGATTCTGTGTCTCCCTCTCTCTCTGGCCCTCCCCTGTTCATGCTCTGTCTCTCTCTGTCTCAAAAATAAATTAAAAAATGTTAAAAAAATTTAAATAAAATAAAATGACATTGCTCAAATTTTTAATTCTTTTAAAAAGCCACTGAGCTGTAAATATTTTTCTTTGCTATATATATAGAATGCTGTATCTGATACATATATTGTTGAAATACATAGTCCTGCATGGTATCAAATAAGTATACTATCACCTCACATCCTGGGAATTGCAGGTAAATGTGCCATTTGTCTTTAAATCAGCATCATAGAAAAAAAAATTGTCTCCAGGCATTTTTCTATGTATAGGCCTTGCAGTTTACAATGTAGCTGTTAAGAAATTTCAAGAATTTCCTGTTGACAAGTATCAATCCCAAAAGCATGCAAACTAGTGGAAGCTAAATATACAATTGGAAAGGTTTCATAGTGGGCAAGAAAACCAAAATTTCAAAACTTAGATCCTGTTCTATTCCCAAATTCAAAACAGTTTTCAAATTGTACAGTCTTAAAATTATTTCCAGTTGCAATTGTTTTTACTTATTTTTATGGGTCAGTTAGTACCATGTCCTATTAATTTGTTTCATGTTGTTCCTTACTGAAATCATTTTGAAATGTCCTGTATGTATGGATCATATAGTCAGTGCTAATACCTTATTTTTCTCAACTGCCTCAGTTGTTTAAAGATAAAAAACAAGAAGGAAGCAGGGCGCCTGGGTGGCTTAGTTGGTTGAGCTTCCGACTTCAGCTCAGGTCATGATCTCAGGGTTTGTGAGTTCGAGCCCCATGTCGGGCTCTGTGCTGACAGCTTGGAGCCTGCAGCCTGCTTCAGATTCTGTGTCTCCCTCTCTCTTCTCTGACCCTCCCCTATTCATGCTCTGTCTCTCTCTGTCTCAAAAATATATAAACATTAAAAAAATTTTTTTTCCAAAAAACAAGAAGGAAGAAAGCAAAGGAAAAGAAAGGGGCAAGGGGAAATGAAATAAAAGGAAAAGGAGAAAAAACTAGTTTAGCTTGAACATTTAAAACATTAATAAACCATGCGAATAAAGATTGACCTACAGTTTGTTATCTGCTGTCACTCTGACATGACCAGTTAAAATTGCGAAGTTGTTTTTGATTTTGTTTTTGTTTTTCTATAATGTGTGGATTTTGGAGTCCTTTAGTAGAAAGACCTTAATATAATAATTTCATGGCGTAAGAGGTAGAAGAGAGGAGTGAGTTTTGACTAGTGAAGATTTTGTTTTATCTCTGCTCCAAATAAATATTCTTTTTGTTTGAAATTATTTCTGGCTCTCAGCTCCTTAGACTGAGTAGGTAATCTCTCTCTCATTCTGTGTGTGTGTGTGTGTGTGTGTGTGTGTGTGTGTGTGTGTGTGTGTAGATACGTGGATAAACAGATGAAAGGCAAAACAAAGTCACATTTACAAAGTTCTTTCTAATTGTCCTTATTATTAAATAGACGTTAATAAACTCTTATTTTTCTTGATATAGGAAAGAACACTAACCATTATCAATTTGTGGCTTTTGCCTTTTATTTAAAAAGAAAATCTTCTTAATTATTTAAAGAATGCTTTAGAATTTTATTTGAACTCTTCCTGTATATTATTTATTTATTTTGAATGTTGATTTGTAGTACTAACATTAATTAAACGTTATCCTGTACCTGAAATAAAGTTACAGAAACAACTCTCCACTTTGAATTGTGTATGGAGATCTATCCTTGATGTATAAATATGGGTATGTTTATTTTCTTACATCCCCTCCCCCTCACAAATATGTATAAATTTGGCCTTTATAGGACTAAAGGATTCATATCCATGCTGAGGGAAAATAAACACTCCATCATGAATTTAATTAGTAGGTCTTCCTACAAGGACCCATGAGACTGGTGACTTTGATATTTCAATAGTCTGACTTTTCCAGAACAGTTAGTTGTTTTTTTTTTTAATTCATCAGTTCTGTAAATTGTGAAACTGATCACATTTTTCTCTTTGCTGCTAGAAAGTTCATTTTTGGTTCACCTGTGGCACAGAAAAAGTAAATAATGTGTTTGGAGTCATTAATCTTACTGCCCATCCTTACCTTTTTCCTTCTGTCCTTTTCCATTGCTTACTTATTTTTCATTTGATTATACCATGAACGTTTTGCCTCTTACTCTTTTTGGAGCTAGGTAACGTAATATAAACAAAATAGTTGCTGTGAGGGTAGGTTCACTTAAGTGGTCATACTGAAAACTTTTGTTTTTTAAAATCAGATTTTCTATGAGTCTTTATTGAAATGATAAAATTTGTTTTTGAATTTAGTATTTATCTCAGCCAACTCAAAGTCTTTTTTGGAACAAGGCCAAGGCGTAAATACATGTATACTATATTTATATATATGTATAAATCAGTATAAACATAAATGTAATATATATCTCCCTTGCTTTAATTTCAGTTTTAAAATTGTTTTCTAATAGAGACATTTTATTGAGGTCTTGTCTACTTACTTTTCTAATTATATAAGGACCCAATTTTAATGAGGAAGGTACAGAACTTCACGTTTTTGTTATTTCTTAAGAAATGGCTTAAGTGTCGCTTTAAGTGTCATGACTGTTTATCACATTTGTCTGTTACATTATAAATGAATAGATAGGTACACACTCAGACATTCTAAGTATCTTAGGTGTGCATCATATCAGATTTATATCATGGTATATGTTTTCATGGCACCAAAACATTAGAAAATATAGATAGGTCAACAGAAGTGCCATGGAAGGTCTATAAAAATTGAAGGGCTGTGTATGGTATATTGTATATGTACTGTAAATATCATGTAAATGAAAGATAAATATTAAAAGTGTAAGATATTATTGCTTTAACATTATACAAAGTGACAATAATGTCTGATGACAAATATTGAGAGTTTTTGAATAGTGCTACAAGTTATGATTTTCATGTGTTCTTTTTCCATAGGTTCAGATCATAAATCTGTAATTCATTCCAAATCCTCTCCTGAGATTACTCTGAGATTTGAGAGTGGGCCTGGTGCTGTAATACACTCTTTGCTTGCAGAAAAAAATGGATTTTTGCAATGCCATATAGAAAACTTTAGCACAGAGTTTTTTACATCTTCGCTTACTAATATTCAACATTTTTTGGAAGATGAAACTGTTGCAACCGTGATGCCAATGAAGATACAAGTTTCTAACACAAAAATAAATTTAAAAGTATGTTAATAAGTATTTATATATTTTCGTGTTATGAATGTTCACTTTGCCGACTGGGACTTTAATTCATGCTTAAGAATGTGTCTTCTCTATAATATGTGCTTATTAGCATTTATTGATATGAGTTTTTGGTCTTTGTGGGGGAATAATGAAAAGAATCATAGAAATTAGAAATCATTTACTTTAATAACAACATGCTGATACCGCTTCTCTTTTTTACAGGACGACAGTCCTCGTAGTAGTACAATATCCCTTGAGCCAGCTCCTATAACTGTTCATATTGACCATCTTGTGGTAGAGAGAAATGATGATGGTTCTTTTCATATCAGAGGTATATATGAAAAACATTGTTATTGAACACCTACTGAGATTTAAAGTTATTGATATGCTGATTTGTTTACTTGTACTTCCTGTTTATAGATATGAAATATGTGGTAGTAGGTGATTGGGGGACAATTTCACTACCTTAGAATAGAATGTCATCTATGTATGGACCTTTTACCTCAAAAATAACTCATCTACAGTGGCTTTAATACCTGTTCTACAAATGTATTTTGAATGAAAGTGACACAGGTTTTTATGGTCTTACATGGCTCTTAAGCTTACTTGGGCTTCTTGATCTCTTTCTTAGGTTTATCTCCCACTATTCTTTTATATATAACTCAGCCAACTTGGTGTACTTCCTGTAACAGAATTTTTTGTGCACTTTTCCATCTCCATGTTCTTATTTGCCTTCTTATTTCTCATTAGAATTGTATGTTTCCTTTCAAATTTGTCTCAAGCTCCTCCTTTTCAATCAATTGTTCTTTATAACCTGGTGTAACTTCTTATAATTCTTGGGTACTTACTTATTCTCTATACATTAATTACTTATTTAGTTTTACTTTTATCTCAATGTAAGAATTAGTGTCTCCATTGTAACAAGATTGTTAAGGTCTCTAGTGTAAGGGCTATATCTTACAAGGTGATGTAGAGTAGAGGAAAGAGCTTGGCTTGGTTGACTTAGGTATTCCGGTCTCACTTTATTAGTAGTTTCTTGAGAGTGAAATATGAGGAGCTGTTATATGCATCTATTTCATCTATCAGACCTCATGAAATGACATATGTTAAAAGAAGAATAAAGTCATACAGTAAGAAAAGTAAGTGCCATCAGAGGATCAGAAATCCTTGGGACACGTGGGTGGCTCAGTTGGGTAAGCATCTGACTTTGGCTCAGGTCATGATCTTATGGTTCGTGAGTTCAAGCCCATGTCAGGCTCTGTGCTGACAGCTCAGGGCCTGGAACCTGCTTTAGATTCTGTGTCTCCCTCTCTATCTGCTCCTCCCTCACTCACACTCTGCCTCTGTCTCTCAAAAATAAATAACTGTTAAAAATTTAAAAAAAAAAATCCTTGTAAGTGCACAAAATCAGAGTACTTTGCCAAAGAGGCAAAACCAGAAAAATCTGGAGCCATAATCCCATCTAAAAGAGGACTGTTGCTAAGGTAGGATCAGTTCATGGGCAACTCTTAACTAACAAGTCTACCCCTTCTGGAATTTGGGAACCAGAGCAAAGACATCAGGTCAATAAAGGAAAAAAAAAGTCAGTTTCTTTTCTGAAATAGCTCACATGGAGCAAATAGCTTAGGTGTAAGAAGATAAGTTTGCTTTACGTCTCTTTCCCCCTAAATACTTTAGATCCCAAAACAGGCAGGTCTGTCTTGTAGATAAAGCAGAATAGAATGCATCCTTTTTGTGGGCAACGCTTAGACCAAAGAAAGGAGAGACTGAATCTCACACAGAGTTCCTTTTTCTAAACTCATCACTCAAATGGTGTCAAGAGAGTATAGGAGATTTTTCTCCTCAAAAAGCATCGCAACAGAATGCTGAAATTAGAATAGATCCCCTGAGGCAATAGGTGAACAATCTAGACACTTCTTTTTGAGACCATTTCCTGCGCTTCTACCAAATAGCACACTTCAGTGGGGTTTGCATATAGACTAAAACATGGAGGGTAAATTCTACAGCTGCCAGGCCCCAGGAAGGGAATGATTTTATACCCAGTTGATGAACTTGGTATCTCTCCCTTCCCTCCACTCCATCACTGGATGTCAGCTATGGCACATAGAAACAACATCCATAGTCAAGAAAATGGGATAAGCAAACACCCAAGAATTCTCAAACATTTGATTGATTGTAAATAGGCAGTAGTCATGATTGTAAGCAAGAAATATTCTCTAGCTAATTGAGTAGAGAAGGAGTTTAACAAAGATTATTGGAATGGAATAGAATTAAGAGACCAGAAATAAACTCTTACATTTATGATGAACTGAGTTTTGACAATGGTGCCAAGACCATTCAATGTGGGAAAGACTAGCCTTTTCTACAAATGGTGCTGAAACATACCACAAGAAGGAGCCTAGACCTCTTCCCTGTATCATCCACAAAAATGTACTCTTCATGGGTCAGAGTTTAAAGTAAGAGGTAAAACTATGTTGAAACTCTTTAAAAGAAAATATAGGAATGAATCTTAATGACCCTGGGTTAAGAAGCCTTCTCAGATACCACACCAAAAGTGTAAATGACAAAAGAAAAATGTAGATGAATTGGCCTTCATGAAAATTTAAAACTTTTATGCCTCAAATGATACTGTCAGCAAAGTAAAAAGACAGCCCACAGGATGGAAGAAATATTCATAAGTCATTTATTTGGTAAGGGGCTGGTATCCCGGCTATATAAAGAACTCAAAACTAAAAAAGATACATAACCCAATTTAAAAATAGGCAAAGATTTGAACAGATACTTCTCTGATGAAGATATAAAAATGGCCAATGAGCACATGAAAATATGCTTGACGTCATTAGCCATTATGGAAATGTAAATCAAAACCACAATGAGATAACACTTCAGACTTACTAAGGTGACTAATCAAAAAGACAGATGATAACAAGTGGTGGGAGGATGTGCAGAAATTGGAACCCTCCTACATAGCTGGGCTTGTAAAATGGTGTGGGTGCTTGAGAAACAATTTGGCAGTAACTCTGAAAGTTAAACAGAATTACTTATGACCCAGAAGTTCCACTCAAGAGAAGTAAAAACAGAGGTCCACTCAAAAACTTGTACACAAATGTTGATGTTGACAAGAACAATATTCATAATAGCCCAGAAGTGGAAACAACCCAAATGTCATCATGGTATGAGTGGACAAGGAAACTGTGATATATTCATACAATGGATTATTATTCAGCAATAAAAAGAATGAAGCACTAATACATGTCACAGCAGGGAAGCTTTGAAAATGTTATGCTAAATGAAAGAGGCCAGTTATGAAAGACCACATACTGTATGATTTCATTTACATGAAATTTCCAGGAAAGGCAGATCTGTAAAGACAAAGTAAATTAGTGGGTACCTAGGGCTGGAGGCAGGATTGGAAGGAAATGGGGAGAGACTGCTAATAGGTACAGTGGAATTTCAGGGTGATGAAAATGTTCTAAAAGTGATTGTGGTGATGGTTGTACCATTGGAGAGCGTACTAAAAACCTATGGACCACGCACTTCATTAATTTTTTTTTTTAATTTTGTAATGTTTACCTTTGAGAGAGAGAGAGAGAGAGACAGAGTGCAAGAGGGGAGGGGCAGAGAGAGAGGGAGACACAGAATCCAAAGCAGGCTCCAGGCTCCGAGCTATCAGCACAGAGCCCAACATGGGGCTCGAACCCATGAACCACGAGATCATGACCTGAGCTGAAGTCAGATGCTTAACCAACTCAGCCACCCAGGCTCCCCTGGACCACACACTTTAAATGGGTAAATGGGACATGTGAATCATTTAACAAAGCTCTTAAATATATATGTTTTAGAATCATGGGCGATCTGGGGAACCAGGCTCAAGATTTACCTGTCAGATCCATACCCCCAAACCACACTACATTGTAATCTAGTGTGATGGGACACACTACTGCCTGACATTGGACACTTGATTTTTCATTTTGCACTACTGTCATTATTGGTCTGTGTATTCATCCTTACGGCAACTTCTGCAGTCAGCCCTGTTTGAACTTTTATTCTTAGGTACTTGACCTTGCCCCTACTGTCACCGCTGTTGCCCCCAGAAAGAGAAAGTTCTCTCCCTTCCCTTCTTTAGTATCTGAGGGAAATCTAAGGTGAGTACAATTTGAGGCAACATCTGTGTCACACTCATGGAAAGGAATCGGGAAGTTTCAGTAGTCTTTTCCAACATTTATTGAAGGAAGCAAATTTTACTCCCCCAATGAAATTCTTCACATTAAGAAAGGAATTCTAATGTTGGATGGGTGAAATAAATGACAAAATGCCTATTTCAAAAACCAATTAAGAGGCAAGAAATAAATGAATAATACAGTTAATGCCAAAGAAAAGTAGAGACTTTTATAAACACGTGATAGGATTTTGAACTCCTAGAATAAGAACAAGCTCTTATGGAAAATAATCGGTTAAAAATCTTTGAAAATTAAAAGTCTTATCTTTGAAATAAAAACAATAGCCTCCCTAAAACCACCAGCTTTAAGAAACAACCAGAATTGGACCTTTTCCTACCATCTATAACACTAGCACTTCCAAATCTGCTTGAATTATTCTGGTTAATTCCTAAGTTGTATTTCTTCTTTTGCCTTTGTTTGCCTGCACTATTACCAACCCACCAACCAGAGTACCATTGTTAAAATTTAATTTGTATCAAATAACTTCTCAACTAAAGACCCTCCACTGGCTTCCTTTTGCAATCCAATTAAAATTACTGAGGTCCTTCCAGTGGCTTTCGAAATCCAACATGATCCTGTTCTTTGCTTTTCTCCATTGTTACCCCTGCTGTTTTCCCCCTCTGCACCATTCATTCCTGTTAGTCTGACTCCTGTCTCAGGGCGTTTGTACTTGGCAGTACTTTTGCCTGGAACTCTCTTACCTCAGATATCCCCATGCCTCAGTTCATTACTTTTCGCAGGTCTCTGGTCACATCCCCCCTTTTAGAGATTTCTGTCCATCTATCCTTCTCCCATCCCTGTCACTCCTTTTCTCCCTAGCCCTCCTTACTGATCTCAGTGAACATTTAGAACCTTTTGATATACTATATTCTTTCTTATTTGTTGAGTAGCATGTAAGTTACATGAGTGCAGGAATTCATTTGATACATTGCTATCCCTATCTCCTAAAATACTGTCTTGCCTAGTAGATATTCAAAAAACATACTTTTGTGATGTCTGGGTGAATAAAGACAGCTTAAAAACACTGGACACAGCTCAAGTTGAATATGTCTATGACAACAATGTGCAGTATAACTTCCTGCTTATGGAAATGTTCTATAATCTATAATGA